CAATACATTAGAAGTTTTGTTTCTTTATATTCCCTTCCTGTTTACTATAGCGCAAGTCAAAAGCGTGTAAAGCCTTCATCCTGTGATGCCGCCCCTGATGAGGGGCGAATCCGAAAAGGAGGTACCGTCCGTACAAGTCTAAGTGACGGGCTAAGGCATGGTCCTGAACCCGCTGTCTGGTCTGTCCAGGAGGAATTGGTCGATGGCGCTCTGCCGATGTATTAGCGGTGTTTGTCATTAACAATGTCAAGTTATCGGCACTTACCCAGTCGATTGTGTCCTGGCCATTTAGAACGTTGTCGAGTGCTAGGTTATTGACAAAGTCCAATGAGAAATCCATCTGCGGCATGATGGATTCGTACGAGGTAGAAGGGGTAGGAGCGGGCTGGACATCGTTGTTGAGCAAACTGGCCAGCGAGCCATCGCGAACTTCCAGCTTTGGCGGCGGCGGCGGCGAACGATTAGCGACAGGATCTTGCATCGATACCTTGCGAAGGATAGCCCCCACTACCCGAGTAGCATGGGCTGCGTCCTTTGAGCTTTGTTTTCTCTCCGACCACATCTTGTAGGACGTGCCTAGAGCCTTCAGTTTTCTCGATCGCTCTGCCGGACTGCGATATTGTTAGACAAACAATCGATGGCATCAATCACCTGGCCTCAACTTACGTGCTTGGTAGATTTTCTGTAAGGTCGAGACATAAGATCATCGACGCGATTAGATAGTCGTGCAGTGTCAAGGCCGAGAGCATGTATTTGTCCTCGTGTATTCGACCGCCCGGTCGGCTCTCCTCTTCGTATTCGGCGTGCAGATCCAAGATCCGAAGAGCCGCATCTCGACACGTGTTCCGCGACCTGTCGTATTTCGGATTGTCCTTCTCCCGGTTGAGGTACGGCCGATGCAGCACGCAGAGACTCTTGAGATACATCATCTCCAGCATGAGACGGTGCATTATATCGTAGGTCTGATCGGTGAAGCTGTACGACCGTATTGGTCTGATTTGCAGACTAGGGGGAACCTGACCATGGTACTGGTGGATTTCATCGTCCAGCTGGAGAACTTCTTCGTACGACGGAGGTTGGATCGACAACGCAAAGCGAATAACTCGACGCAGCTTTCGACATAGCTTTGATTTGAAACTCAGATACAGAGTGGATGTAGGCTCAGTAGACGGTCGTGGCGGGGGTAGCACCATAACATTCTCGTCAAAGTCAGAGTCGAAGAGATTGCTAGGCGATTCGGTATCGCACTCGTCATCCCGAATAATGGGAGGCATGCCAAGCTGGAAGGAGAAAATGACGTCGAAGACCTCGATAAAGAAAAAGGCCCGTCTACGAAGCTCGCCCTCGAACGGGGTGATGTTGGAGAGGTACTTCGGATCCCTGTGATAACCCATGCGCTGCGCGAGTCGGGCGACAAGCGCGAACTTGGCCCATAAGCTGGAGTCGATCCCCTTGTTCCTGTGCAGCTCCGTGTAAGCGTGAAAGAGGAGGGCTTCGATAGAATAAGGCTTAGCGCGCAAGTAATCTCCCGATACGAGACACTCGGTCGCCAGCGCAATCAATTTATCGGGTAAGCTCGCCTCGCAATCGTCCACTTCACCCTTCATGATGGAGATGGTGGCCGCGACCCATAGCATAGAAGCGAGGCAGCTTATCCATAAGAGGCTGGTTTGGGAAGGATCTTCCCAGAAAGCGTCGTACTCCCTCTGGAACTTTGTCGTGTGAATATACGGCGCCGTCGTGAATTTGTGGCGGAAGTAGACCAATATGAGCTGGTCGGTCCTGTTCCTGGGGGGCAGTCGCGCGATAGCCTGCGTGAGAGTAATGGGCGGTAGCTTACCAAAGAGGACGTCTGCGCTTTCCGGGGTCATCTGCTGTGGCGGCGGCGGCGACGGAGTCGGGTGTTCGTTGGACTCTTCGTTGTCAAGGATGCCTTGGATGTCGTGGATGCTCTCGAGGATGGAAGCCCAGTGAGTACCGCCGACGTAGCTGCCATGCTCGCCATGTGTGGTGTGTATAAGAGGTCCGGCTGAGGGAGCCAAGCTCGGCGGGGAGCTTAAGTCAGAGCGCGTTTCGACTTCTGTTCGCTGGTCCGAACTTGAGGGAGTGTCAAGGGCGGGCTCCCGATTCTGCGCAGTACAGACCAGGCCATTTACCATCTCCTCCAGTTTCTGAAGCCGGACCTGAAGCACGGGGCGAGACATGGGCTCGTGCCTAGACCGGGCATCCACTTGCGGACGCGCATCGGTGCGGGCCTTGCGAGAGGCACGAGGCGCATACTCGCAGAAATTGGCCTCGCCACTCTTGACACACCTCTCACACGGCTGCTGGCGGTCACATTTCACCCTAGAAGAACAAAGAGGAGGAGGATGAGCAGCGAGTAGAGTTTGATCAAGGCCGGGGACTCACTCACTTGCGGGTGCGGCACAGCAGACAAGAAACGGGAGGACGATTGCGCTTTTGGATTTTGCGTTGTAGTCCCTCGGTCGGCTGTGCGCGAAAGACACTTGTCTGATAGCTGCCGGGCCGAGAGTCCATGGCGCGCGCGCCGGATTGATTGATGAAGTACGAATGATAAGCCTCAGCCGTCCTCAGCCAGTTCAGCTCAGCTCAGCTCAAAAAAAAAAAGAAAGCGCTTCTAATTTCTTTCTCGGCGACTTGTTTGGTCAGCGGTTATCACGAAATGAGGACTTAAGAGTATGCCTGATTGAGAAGAAGTCCGGTAGCACGAAAAAGTAATGAGGAAAAGTAACTGACTGGATTGCATGAGCGACAACGCCTCAGCATAAGCATAATACGGGGGGACCTTAACACACAAAAGGTGCCTTTTCGCCTTCAAAACCGTTTGACCGTTGGATTGGCAGAACTGGAATTGGAACTGGAATTCTCATTCTCCCCCCCGGTGGTTGTCGGAAACATGGCCATCCGTATATCCGAATTAGAGGAACTGCGCTTGGAAAACTCCGTCGTGCATACTATCTCCCCTGCTATCCCGGCTACATGTGGCTACCTAGCATCCCTGTAGCTGGCCTGGTTTCCCTTGGCCTTCATGGTGTTTAACGTCTTTAACGTGGTTAAGAGCAACTTAAGACTCGTTAAGGTAAAGACGAATAGCTTGGCATTTCCCCATTGGGACTTGGCGACCGACGGATCTTCCTCGGCTGGATTTAAAGATAGCTCCGCATCAAGTCTTCGCACGAAATACCCTGGTACCCCTGCACATTCCGTCCGTACATATTTCTCTTTCGGGACTTATTTTTGAACCTTTCACTCACCTATCAACACCTTACCTTCGTAAGGACAACACCTTAACTGACAACCTCCAAAGTGCTGAGGGGATAGGATATGTGACCTACCTTTGTGAGTATTTCATCCCTAGTAATCTTGTTTGCCACTATTTAATCAAGTAAGTACCTTTTACTTTGTATATTGCGAAGAACTGACGGTACAAGCATTGAACCATGATTTCATCCCCAGGCCTTCCTTGATTTCCTAATGGGGTATCTTCTTACCTCCACACGGTGCCACACCGTTGGCAAGTGGATTTGATGAGCCAAGTTCCGACGAATCTTACTTATACCTCAGTCAGCAACACTTATTCATCTACTCTCAGAACCTGATCGCCTTCTTAATCTATCTAGCATAAGCAACCATCGACCCTATCCATTTTTACTTCTCTTTCCGCTCAAGATCGTCCCCCTGGTAGAGTAGCTTACTGTGGTCAACATGCTGCATGCAGTCCGAGATGAGAGAAAGCCAAGAGGCTGGCGTCCGGAAATCGCGGTAGTCCATTGAAATCGTAAGCCCGGCAGTATTGATTCCGACACCATGTGTCTCTCTATTATCTCCTGCCACTCCCGGTTCCCCAATCCGTATTTGCCGGTCCCCGGCATCTCCGGGAATATTACTATTGGCCCGGACTGCTTCAACCGGTGTAGAAAATAACGTGGCGTAGACAGTGCTACTATTCCTTTACCACGATCTCAGGATGATGTTGCCACTGAGGGTGATTATACGATCAGTGGGCGTGTTTGAAACCCTTGAAATATGTGATCAAGAGCTGCTGGTTGCGCCGAAGTAAAAAAAAAAAAAAAGAGGGAAAAAACCTAGTTTCGGTCTTAAGCAACATATCAGCTAATCAAACAGCCCAAATATCTCCGAAATATCTTGGCCAGCATATAGGAACTAGTCAAACATTGCATGTAGATGCCAGGGCTAGACTGTGTGGTATGTTTAGATAATAGGTGGCAAACGGCAATTATTATTAATCCATCGGCATCATACATGGCTGTAAAGACTGCCCTTCACTCAGGAGAGGATGTAGCATCCAGAAGCAAGTGGCAAATAGCAGTAGGTATTTGTCATGTTTGGCCGCAATTGAAGGATATTGGTTCGGATTCTCTTCACTCTGCTTGTTGAGAGGCACGTCTTTAACCGGCCTTGACATATGTATAGTATACCTACGATGAATAGTAGAATAGGGTAGTATGCAGCAGTCTAGAAGTGCCTGGATGCCGCCCCATTCAATATCTGCCAACCGAGTCGTGTTCGCATTATTCTGTCAGTTCGGTATAAGCTACGGTGGAAAGTAGCCTCCTCTTGAAGCAAGGTGAATCGACTTTTACTATAACAGACGATCACGACTACCAGCTAAGTGTAAGCTCTACGATCAAAAGAGCCAGAAGGTACGCCAATAGCATAAGAGAAGTCATAAGAGTCAAGATACATTGTAAGGAGCCTGTATAGCGATGCGTGAAATCACCACATCAAGCCAAAACTGAGAAGGTTCGCGCTGTTTAACAAAAGAACAGAGCTCTGGAAAAAGTATATTAAATAAGTATATCCTCAAACCACCACTTCAGTGAGTTCTCCGTTACAATTCTAAAAAAAAAAAAAATTCAAAATATTTTCATCTTGCTCTAATCATTCGAGCAGCGTTCTGCGAAACCCAGATGTTAAAAAGAGATCGGAAAGACGTAAAAAGAAAATATATTGAAGATCGAGCTCAGCAGGGATCGAACCTGCAATCTTCAGAGAGTAGCAGTGAACCGAAATCTGACGCCTTACCATTAGGCCATGAACCCCAATGAGATGAGAGACTGCGTGGTCAACCCGTGTTTTTATTGTTTGTCGTACGTAACGTGTGGGCACTAGCCGGTGGATATCTCGGACTTAGCTTACAAACATTTTCGAATCGATGTGGACTCTGGATGAAAATGGAGTGTTTATATCGGTTTACAGCAAAGCCGTTAGTAACGAGAGTTTTGAATGTGAGGTAAGCTATCACGGTAGATATTATTCTAGCAGAATATACTTGGCACGAGGTCTTGTAGATTATGACCTATCTAAGTCTCTGCCAACATCGACGAGGACATGTCTCCAGCACACAAAGTGTTAACTAACACGGAGCTTTGTGAACAAATGCAATCCCTGGACAAAAGGATTCTAAAGGGAGAACGGCTTCCCTTCCCTACAACATGGCATCAAGCTGCCTACGAGTCGCTCTTCGCTACCATCTCTCACAAAACTCATTTATGAGAGACCACACCCAACGACTCGCCCAGCTCCTGGCCATTGACAAACAGGCGGCTTGGCATCAAGAGCAACGTACAGGACACGGGCGAACTTGGTCTTGCTCGGGTTGCTCCAGGCGTGGTTAGTTCCGCGCTGGACCGCAACATCTCCCTTCTTCACTGTCACGCAAACACAATCAAGTCAGCAGGTACTCAACTTCATCATGCATCATGGGAGCAAAGATACCCAAGACATAACAATCCCACAAAAGGCAATTCAAACCCATAGGTAAACTCACAAACCCGCCTCTCCCCACCCTCCAGCTCAAGCACGATCTCACCTTCAACAACAACCCCAAATCTAGCGTGCAGTGCGGTGCCACAGCGGCGCCGCGCCAGGACGGTAGTCAACATAGCGCGTGACGAAGCCCCCGCGAATCATGAAAGACTCGGGCTTCCAGGCGCAGTGCTCCTTGTACGTGTCGAGGTCCGCGTTGTGGGAGAGCGGCGCCCGGAACTCGGTGCCGCTGTACAGCAGAAACATGTCGCCGCCGAGGGGGCTGGCGCTCGAAGTCAATATCCTCCCTCACGCCGTTGTCGAAGGTCGGCTTGCCGTGTTGTCATGATGTGAGTTGATGTGGTGTGCTGTTCCTTCAGTCGGCTTGAGAGTGATTGGCACAGTGAGAATTTATATACGAGATATAGGAACCTAGCTACCCAAGCAAGGACAATAACTGAATATATGAATCCGTTTCGTCAAAGACAAGCTAGAGTTAGATCAAGTTCTAGAGCTTTAGGTGGATGCTGGTGAGCCGCAGCTCAGTCATCAGTCTCGGTGCTACCAGCGACGATATGGAGTTGGCCCACCGCGTTCGAAGTCGGACCTCGAGTCCCCTAAGAGAGGGGCCAATTACCTAGGACCATTCACAATCAATACGTGAATCGGATCAATTATGCAAATGTACTACGAAGGGCGCGCGCGCGAGTGACATTTGATGGATTGCTTGAGAAGAAGCTGCACATCTGGCTTTACCTGGACTCTACAACGGCCTTGCGCCCGGGTGCCGAGCCCCGAGAGTGACACCCCCGGGCATCCGGCTATTGCACGTTGTGAACAAAACCAAGCTGATTGATCAATCGCAATCGGATAGATCAAGGAACCCACATGACCAGACGGCCGAGCAGATCTCGTGCAACAAGCCGAAACCCTGATTTCATGGTAGTTATTTGTTGGTAGTGTCAAACATCTTGCCCAACCTCAACATCTTGGCTGGCGATGGATGCAGTGGCTTAGTTGTATCATGGGCGGTAGTTGCGTCGTGCTGGTCATTCTGGGCTTGCCCAAGACCCTAGGGCCCCTACTCCTTCAAGCCCGAGCAGCGAAGCTACGCAAGAGCGGCGCAAACACGGCCGCGCGAACGGCATTTGACGACAGGAAGCTGCTTGGACTCATGGACATCGTGTGGGTTTACCTCACGCGACCATTCGTGCTCGCAACCGAGCCGATCCTCGTCCTGATCACCATCTACCGGTCCTTCATCTACGGTATCATGTATCTGATCTTCGTGTCCTATCCGATCGCCTTCCGTGAGGTGCGCCACTGGGCCCTGGGTGTCAGCGCGTTGCCCTTCCTTGGGCTGATGGTTGGTATTATCCTAGGCGCTATCTGCGTCGTTTGGCATACCAAGACCAAGTTTATGGCGACGATCCAGGCGAATGGGGGTAAGATCATACTGGAGCAGCGACTGCCGATGATGATCGCCGATGGTTGCATAACTGGAAGTGACACAGTTTCATGGCTGTGGGAATAAGTAGGATGCAGTGTTTGCGTGGTGTGGGGACAGGGTCGAGCAGCAAATCTGACGGGTGAGTTCGGTCAGAGTAGTACCCAGGGCCTGATCAACATCGTCGAGATGCTTGAACACGGCTGAAAATTCATCTCGTCTAAGCAGGGATGTTTAATTCGACGCAGTCTTTCGATCAATAATATCCATGTCTTACAGCTGCTTCATATGGTTCACCCTTTTCAGCGTTTTGGACGAATTGCACTCTACTCCGGCTTTCCGACAGTTGGAACACTCGGGTTGGAGACGATCGCAGCGAACCTTGCGAAGTCGACATTGATCTCAGGCAACTGTAGGAGGATCATCGTTACTGGAACGAGCGCGTTTTCGCATACCTTCTGTCCTAGTAGCGGAAGCCGAGTGTCTGTCCATGTCCGGGTGTGATGAACGCACGCGTGGAATCGAACATTAAAGGGAACGAGACTGCCCGAGACAGAGAAAGAACGGGAGTCCCAACCATTCCCCGCCCCCACAGCACCGTTCGGTCCGTTAGGTCATGCAGGGACGGGACCTCGTTTAATTACTCCATCTTCCACATGGCAGCCCATATTTTTCTATGTATTCTTGGCTGCGATCCAATGACAGGAGACCGTGGTGCCAAGATTTCCCCAAAAGGAGCGCTCGGGAGCCGAGCTGGTGAGCACAGCTGGCGTTCTCACGCCTCGTTATGCAAGGTGAGACGGAAGATGGTATATGCTATTAATGCCATACATCATACGGAGTAGACGAGGCTGATTAAACATTTAACATGACAGTGTAGCAGTACTTTTATTCGTTTACCTCTAATTACTTCGTGGTTGAGGTTAGACTACTCACTGATTCAGACGCAAAACCGAACATTTGGCACGAAGCAGTCTGCTGACTCATCATGGCGGTGGCTCGGACTCCAGACTTTGTCAGTCCGTTAAGTACGTACATACCTACTTGATACCCTTCAGAAATGAATTTCTAGTTTGAAACTTCATCTTCTCAAAGAATGCCTTCACGAAATGCCTCTCCCAACACAAACAATTCAACTTCTTGAACAGCTCAAGCTCCATAATATCCTGCTTGTTGAGTGGGAGAATGCTCTCTTCAACCGATTGGGCTATCCACTGGTTGTCCATAACGTAAGTTGTCCAGCATCTGAATCTGCCCCACGCTAAGTCATATGTAGGATCTCATCTTCCTCGTTCCTGATGAGCAGTTACATATAGTAGAGAAACTTGCCGCTGATATCGGCTATCACGCCGCCGATCGCGAGACGTTGCCCCCAAGATATCCATCCGAAGAGTCTGACCAAAGCCTTCGATATATCATTCAAAAACACGGCAATATCTGTTCCAGGATTGTACTTCTGCCTTTGTCCTGGGCAGGCGTATCCCCCAACGACGTCGTTCACCTTAGTGACGCTGAAAACAGCTTGCCTTGCTCGGTTTATACTATGCCTGTATCTGTTGCCTGTACTGCTCTCGTGCGTATAGCATCTCGAGAGAAACGGGGCAGTAAACTACGAATGGAAGCAATCGCTGCGCTATGTAGCGTTATTGCGTACCATTTCTTCGATACGAGCTATGAAGGGGATTATTATGAGATACCGCCGGAAGATCAGGAGCTATCCGAAAAGGAAGTCTTGGAAATGACCAATGCGGTTAACAACATGAAGGAATGGGAGATGAAGGAAGGTGAAGAATGGATTAGGGACGAGCTCATAAAAGCTATGACAGGAGCGACATCTTATGATGACTTGCCTTGCAAGAACGATTGAGCTTACCTAGGCCAAGAGGTTGATGATGAAAGCTGTCAGTACTTCAGTTACATAGAACAGTTTCATAATCTAACATTCCTATAGCCGAAATCCCTATTCTCCATCCCGCCGTTCTTATCTTGACTAAGATGAAACGTGCGGCGCAACTTATGGGCAGTACACGCCCTTTGTCACGCGCCAAGTGCCGCACTTGAAATCCTGTGGCAGGGAAAATGGACTGTGGTATCTACCTAGACAGAGCTTATCCACGGAATCCCAGGCGATAGAGCTAGTGAAGAATGCCAGATGAAGATGGACCATTACCCCTATAAACAGTACATTAGTAGAGAATGTAGTCGGTGCATAGGACTAGCTCGGACGAATATAAAAGTTGCGAGTTATTAGAATGATAAGGAACTAGTTACAACTCAATGCCTCCAGCAATCGAAGATGTCCACACCACACCAGCTTGGCATGGGATCGATCTGGACTCATCCCGCGCGATAGCCCGAACTTACGTGAGGGACTCAATATTCACGCGCCACGGATCCAGCCACCTCTATCAAGTCTAAGAATGTGGTGCATGCAGGGGCTGCGGGGTAGGCGTGTTTATGCCAGCGAAATGAGATTCCTTTCATTCCAAGATGAAAGACGCAAAAGGTGTGCCAGGAGCAGTCCCACGGTTGTCGCCAATCTCACTCCCAGGGTCTTCGTCGCATCCTGTGCGCGTCCAGAAGTGAAGGCCGATGCGTCACTGATGAGAACAACGTGATCGACGTAACAAGCGGTATGAACTTCAATTTCAAAGCCAGATATGGTTCAAGAGGCGTAAAGGCGTAGGAGGCATCAAGGTTTGGCCAATGAATCATGGTTTAGAAGTCCCCGTTGTCCTCCTTTTCCTTTTCCTTTTCCTTCCCCTAGTATGAGTAGATGTATCAGGAGTGATTACTGGGATCACCTAGTTGTGGTTCATCAGCGATTTCCGGACCCTCCAGTTGCTG